ACCCTGGTAGACTCTTGGTCTAACTCCGCTTGAAGTGCACGCCTCGAGCTGACGGTCTGTCCGAGTCTAAACAAAGGGCGCAACAACAAGAAGTGATAGTAAAGTGAGCATTCCTCATACATATAAAGTCATAAAAAAAATCCTCTGTTCCATGCCTGTCTCAAAAAATGTTCCAAGTGGGTTGCTATCACCTCTTTCCAGGGTCAACCGTCATCTGAGGAACCCATTGGCAAATGTTGAATATGGCTTACTTTGTACCATGGCATCCCAATCTAAGGTCCAATCTGGAGCAAACCATCCAGCTTCTGTAAGCCAGCATCAGCCTGGAATGAGACACGGGGGCCCCAAACTCCAATGAACAGCCTGCTCAACAAACGCCTGGTAGATCCGGATGTTTGTCACATCATATATATATATATATATGTATGTGTGCTACTGCCCCAAGACCAATCCTTTTGCATCGTGTTCAGGGTTGTAATCACGGAGACGAGTCAGCACATCCAAGTGACATGTGAGGTCGGTCCAAAATTCCCTACATCTGGGTGCGGTCATCAGGACAGGGCATCGGGCTTGGGTTTTCCTCATCGGTTTCCAATGTTTGGTGAATCTCACTAACATACCGTATGTTTCCAAGCAAAAGTATAGTCATGGACATGGCGAAGCAACGCACAGCAGAGCATACAACCTTTCACAAGTTCAAGGACCTCACACACATATGCAGCTGCTAGTTCCTTTCTCTTGCGCATGTCATTTGAACCCTAAAATCTGCTCTCGAGTGGGCATGTCCCTTGATCGGGTGTCTGGAAGTCACTCCGCGGCATCGGTTAGGGCATCGGTTAGGCATCGGTCTATACACGCTGGTGAAAAACAGAAAACTTGCCAGTAGTAGTAGTCGTCGTTGTCGTCGTTGTCATAGTGGTAGTGGTAGTGGTAGTGGTACGAGTAGTGGTAGTGGTAGTGGCAGTGGTAGTGGTAATGGTAGTCGTAGTAGTAGTCGTAGTAGTAGTAGTAGTAGTAGTAGTAGTAGTCGTAGGTAGTAGTAGTAGTAGTAGTAGTAGTAGTAGTAGTAGTAGTAGTAGTAGT